TTATATATATTATATATTATATATATTATATATTATATATATTATATATTATGTTATATATTATATATTATATATGTTATATATTATATATTATATATTATATATATTATATATTACTATATATATAATATATATAAAGAGCGAGAGAGAGCCGTATTTAGAAAATTTTGTAATGCATAAATATCTATCTATCTATCTATCTATATATATATATGTTGTATTATATATATTGTATTATATATATATATGTTGTTATATATATGTGTATATATATATAACAACATATATATGTATATATATATGTGTATATATATATATATAGAGAGAGAGAGAGAGCCGTATTTAGGAAATTTTGTAATGCATAAATATCTATATATAGATATATAGATATATAGATATATAGATATTTATGCATTACAAAATTTCCTAAATACGGTTCTCTACATCAATCAACAATATATCTGTATTCTTTCTCAATGTATTAATACATTGTATTAATACGAAAAAATTCACTTCTTATATAGTCTATCACACGTTCTATAAATGTACCCTGATAAACGAGACGATGGTACGTAGTATGTATAGGGTTAACGACCGTAGGGGGTGCAGTTGGGTGCGGCTTTTCCTAATATCGTTAAAGGTGGGAGCAAACGCTTGGCCGATTATTTACAAGATACAAAGTGGATAGACGTATGCCGTGTTCCGGCGTCTATACACGTGGCTCAAAATAATAGGTATGTTGAATAATTTCAAAGAAATTTCTAAGAAATATCGAAACGATAACTCATTAGTGAAAATAATGTGCGCAAATATTGTCGATGACATAATGTTTATTATAGAGAAAAATGCTACACCATTTTTTCTTTGGAATATTGTATGCTCCAGCTTGAACAGCACGTAATTATCAATTGTACAATCATACAATTATACAATTCGAGTGTAAAAAAATTTTACAGGATTTTTACAACATCAATTTCTCCTTGATTCCACAAAGTACATATAATAACTTATGTGCAACAATTTGTGAAAAACTGCGTGTAAGAATACGTTTAAGAAATCGGATAAGAGAAATCAATATGTAATTCGTATCGATAGGAAACTATTGTTCTCCATGCTACGTAATCGCAAAAAAAAAATCATACAATGAACTAAACTGTCACAAAACGACAGAACGTAAAAAGATTCAACTAATTAAAAATTTCATTCGTGCTTACAAAATATGTATATATAACATTTTCTTATTAGTACGTTCGCGTTTTGCTATTTTGTAGTAGTTGTGATCAGCGTGGAAAGGAAGGTGCAATCTCGAAAAATTTTATATTTTGAAAGAAATATAATTAAAAAAGATAAAATAAAAAAATTATTATAATTATGCTAATTTATCGATTATACTTAACATCAAGTTACTTTCTGCCATTTACTTTATCCAGTATTCACACAAACATGATAGTCATGCTTGTTAATAGTACATATTCTTACTTATTTATAGGATGATCGTTTGTTATTACTATGAAATACTTCTATACAATCACAAATGTAACATTTTCCAGAATGAAAAATTTCTAATTTTTTTTTTTTTTTGTATACAAATTCCTTATTATATACATACCTATATGCAGATATCATTTATATTAAATATCGCAAAACTCGATCAATATTATTCAATTTATTGCTTGATTTTTTCTCTAATTATTTATAAAATGAAATTTACCTATAAAATGAAATGTAATGACAAGCAATTATATACACTGCAGCCTCACTTTACTCTGTAATTTCTGTAATTTCCATTAACCACATAACAACAATAACCGATCAATTCAAATGTTTTTCTAAATTCTATATTTTTATATTAACATAAATTATTTAAAAATATTTGTATAACCTACGTTAATGATATATTTTCAATAGTAATGGTCTTACTGGTTTACGATTTTTGAAAGAGGATTTTTACTGATGATAAAATAAACTAATATTTTACATCGTTATAATTGTACATCCGTGTCATATTTCGCTAAACCACAAAACTACTGTTTCTTCATAAATTATTACGTCTAACGCACTAATGGCAAAAAATGTTCTTGTACCATTCATATGGACCACGCTGGCCCCAAAAATTGGCTCCATTGGAGCTATGCACAAAATCTTTAAATAATATTAAATTGGACTCGCAGTATATACATCGTTACTGCGAGAGAGATAAAACATTTGACTATTACATAGATAAATTTTCTGATACTCATGCTTTTTATTACGAAATTGTCTGCAATATATTTATGTTAGCATTGGCTTCTTCTTCTTCTTCTTCTTCTTCTTCTTCTTCCTAAAATGCCAGAACCAATTCACATCAGAATAAATCTTTAGTCTTCAAACAAGAGTTAATAAAGATAATAAAAGATAAAATTTACTTACCTCGTCAAAACCGAAACAGGTTTCCATTTCTTTCTGTAACTTTGGATCACTTTGCGTGTTTTGAGATGAAGATTTATTAGTTCCTGGTTCCATTTTTAATTGGTCTATTTCGATTTCTTCTTCTTCTGCTTCATCCCCCTCTTCGCCTGTACCAGTCACAATCCCACTTTCTTGACTCAAAGGATCTTGCATCACTAAATCTCCATCCTCGCTGGCTACAACGGCCATCTGCTAAACACGAACGAAACGATTATAACAATTTATATGCATACGTAAACATTAGGAATTAATATTCTTTCAACTGTAATGCATACTTGATCCGTTCCTTGATTGTCAGCTAATTGTATGACTTCCAATACAACGTATTGTTGACCATCGCTTCCTTCGACTGCCATCATGTCATCTTCATCTTCTTCTTCTTCTTCATAACCTTTAAGTTTAGAAGCTAAATCACCTGTTATCATAACACAACACACGGATATTAGTCAATGATCTGTATACGGATCATATCGTAAGTGTCCCTGTGATTACAATTTTTTAACAGTTAGATTATTCATCGTATATGTGTAGTACAATTTCCTTCATTCGTGAAATACAAATATTATTTTAGAAACAGCAAACTCAAGATTCGTTACCAATTATACACATATATATGAAGTAAGCTTGTTTTTTTTTCTTTTGCAACAACGAAATTTTACCTGTCATGACTTCAACTCTTTGCCCATCTATAATTTGAATTTTTTTCTGTCTGCCCATCTTCAATGCTTGTTGTTTTTCTTGAAGAGATGATTCTGGGTCATGAACAGCCATGTGCCGAATAAGATTTCCTTTATGTCTGAATAACAAAATTTACATATACATACAATTCTTCTCTACGTATTTAATCCATGTATATATCACATATATTACATACCTAAACGGCCGTTCACATTCGGGACATTGATGTGTCTTCTCTTGTGGTGGAGGAGGAACATAAGAAGGATTATGATATAAATTACAATGCCGTTTGAGAAGTTGTTTTTGTCTGAATGATTGAAAGCAATGATCACATTGATATGGTTTCTGATCAGTATGAATTAACATGTGGCTCTCGAGATGACGCGCAGATATAGAAGCATATGGGCACAAATCACATTTATAACACTTTTCTCCTTCGTGTGTTTTACTGTGCAACTTGTAGCTATATCTATAATAGTAAAATGCATTGTACGTTTTGTATTTGCAATAAGAACTTCTTTTTAATAGTTATTAAACAATTTAGTTTTTACTGCACACCTGTCTGGGAATGTTTTTCCGCAGCGTTTACATTTCAAAGGTTTATCAGAGGTATGTAATTTTTGTACATGAATTCGTAGATCTGTTTTTCTTCCACACGTCGTTGGACATAATTCACATTGAAATACTGGTTTATCACCAACTGTAACACATTCTATTATAATAAACATAATAGGAAAAAATTACATAAATTAAAAAAATTAAATAAATTTGACATTTAACACATACCATTATGTATCAGTTTATGAGCTTTTAAGCTATTAGATTGGGTAAACCTTGCCTGACAAAAGTCACATTCGTATGGTTTTTCTCCTGTATGTATGCGCAAATGTCGTTTTAGCTTAAAAGTATCAGGACTTGCATATGTACAATGTGGACACTGTAATATAAATGTAATAACAATTTCATGATCATGGGCAACATTTACAGTTAAATATAAAACTGTGAACCTGAAATGTTATAGTATACCTGATATGGACGTTCGCCTGTATGGCATCGAATATGACGCTTAAGTTTAGACAATTCAACAGACGCATAGTCACATTCATGACATTTATGTGGCTTTTCATGAGTGTGCCTATATCGAACATGTCTAACAAGTTCGCCTAAAAATTAATATTGACAAAATTATCAAAAGAAAAAAATATATAGAAAGTGTGTAAAACTGTTATACTCACCAGAGGTTGTGAATGCACTATCACAAAATTTACAGTGATGTGGTTTGGTCCCAGTATGTGTATTAACATGATTTTGAAGTGAAGCCAATGTTTTAAATCCTCTTTCGCAAACACTACATTTATGTGGTCTTTCTTCAGAATGCGATTTCATATGACGTGATAACAGATATCTATATCACATAAGATTAAGAAATTGTTTACAAATAAGTTAAATTTTGATTACGGCATAATTTCAAAAAAATTAACAATATATAAGCATTTTTTTACAATATACAAAAAAAACAAATTACCGTTTTGGACTTGTGTAGTTACAGTAATTACACATGTGAGCTTGAGTAACAGTTTGTGATTTTTTAGGTAGGAATTTAATAATTTTGGTTTTATCATCTTCTGCTTCTGATTCCACAGGTGCTTCATTATCTTCATTATCTTCAAAGTCATAAACAGTAAGATCTTGTTCTCCTTCCCCTTCTTCACCTTCCGTTGTCTCTCGTTCTACTGGTCTGCTTTCCTTATCTTCAGCATCAGGTTGTTGAACTATTAATACATAACTAACTTCACCAGGATTGGTATCCGATGGTACAATAGTAACTGTTTGATATGCATCTCCAGAATTAATTACAACCTGATTATTTCCATTATTAGTTACTTGACCCTACAGAACAACAGAATTCTATAATAACAATAGACTGTGTTATTCCATTATTAAAGATCATCTATCTTTGCTTACATCTTCATCACCATCAACATTCTCTAATTCTTCAATTTCATTATATTGTTCTTCTTGAGGTGCCTCTCCTTCATTTTGTACGTCTGCTTCTTCTACTTCTTGAATTTGCACTTGTGTCATCACAGGTGTTTCATCATTACTCGCTTGATAATAATATTGACCAGATTGATCAACAAAGTAAGTTCCACCCTCTTCCCCGCCTGACAATCCTTCCACCTGTTGCACTGTAATAGAAAATTTTAATAAAAACGCCTGTTTTCTTTCGTGGTAAATATAGAAAAATTCATTTGAAGATATACTAACACTGTACATGTTGTAATTGCTCTCCTTGACCTCCCTCTATCTCTTTGTTAAATGTTTCTAAATAAGTCTGTATCTCTGTTACAGATTCTTGTCCCTCTTCTAACTTAATCGTTGCTACGTTACTTGTCATGATCAAATCATTAACTCATAGAAATATACTTTCTTACATTCATCTGAAACAACAGATGCATTTTTCATTCAACGATTCAAATAATCAGTTATCATTAGTTTCATTTTATATTTAGTTCATATCTTATATTCTTTGTGTCATAAAAACACATACAAACTAATTATATATTTGTACTTATTTTTACAAATTTGATAGATCAACTCTATCGTAAGGAAAACTTTGTATTTTAAGCTAACCATACGATCATCACTTATAGATCTACACATGATACTATATGTGTACACATATATAGTATAGCTAATTGCCAGGAGGATGTTTATCTGTGTCTTTAATCACTCATTGACTCCAACATTTATGAATTATTCGTGCAATATGTAGACCTCAAACGACTTCAAAGATCTACATGAATAAATACATTTCTAAAGATATACAATCATATTGGATTGTTACAAAAAATGGCATAGACTTTTGGACATCATATACAATGAATATGACAAATGTTTTGAAAGAATGCGCAACTGCAATCGGCTTTACGTTTGAGAACGTATGGAGAAGACACGTGCATGCATTCAGTAACGTTCGAAAATTGTACCAATCACCACCGAAACATCAGTGGATGTGCACGAGGCATCGTGAGTCGCGCGAAATTAAAGGAAAATCAATATATCCGAGTAAAGAAATTGAAGGTACGAAAGAATGGATGAACAGGAGGCGACGTGTGGGGAGAGGGGGGGATTCGTCGAGAGCGAACAATTAACGAGGCTAACCACGCGTTAAAATCCTCGTAACCGAGCATCAGAGCGTTGTATCGCTGGAAAGGCAAACGGGATTGACAGAAGCGACACACGCTGCCGCGGAACGCCATGTAACACGCGAAGCGGGTAATGCGAACAAGGATGACGCCATGGGTAGAATGTGATTGCGCCGTGATGGACGAAGAAGCGTGTGGAAATACATGGCGAGCCTCCAGGGTTCCGTACCCGTGGACTTTCATCGAACACCGGAGGCTCCGAAGTTGCGCATTCTGTCGGAAAGCTTTTAAGACAACGCGGGTGCTTTCGATTTCAGGACACAGGGGGCATTAACGACAAAAATTTCAGAAAATTATCACCGTCGGCGCTGTCATCAATATGGAGGACGCAACGGAAGGGAATACTGTTCGTTCTGCTACGTGCTGAATATAACTTACCAATGTTCTGCGTTCAGCTCGCGACTGGACTGGCACAGATTCCCTCGAATCTGAAAATCGTTGTTCTTCACACGGAATAGTGCTTCCACGTTGTGCTAAGTTCGCCTGCGACACGAAACCTCGAAATATTCGCTTACCTCATAAAGTCGAGAACGTTCGTGTGAGGGCGTTGTGTAAGACCCGGGAGGACAATATGGCCGATCGAACTACGAATGTTCAAATGCTGCGCGTTGATAGCTGCGCACTGGCACGCGTCACTCGTCATGTTTACACCGGACGACTGTCGTTTTAGGTACTTCCGGGTGTTAAATCTACCTAGATATTGCCAATTAATTTCATTTTTTTTCATTTGCCAAAGTACGTATTTCAGCATGAAACGATTGAACTATATAATTTAATAACATAATGCTGTTGGTAAACTTAGCTTGATAATGCCAAGGTACAAGTTCGTTTCATATTTTAAGCCCCATTCGACAAAATAAAAAGAAATCTGACGCCATGTAAAAAGGGCGGGAAAGTTATAGTTCGAAATAATTAACAAAATGACTAAAAATTTTAGTTGGCAGACTAACACTCGTTTATGTGAAATATCAATTTTTTTCAAAATGATTAGAAACTAATATTATCGATTTTATATTGTTGTTTGTAAAATATTAATGATGCAATAAGTCAAGCATGAGATGTAAAAAAATGCTTTTAACCTTCAATCTTTTCTTTTTTGTAGCAGTTTTAATATCATATAACATTAAATTATATTAATATCATATAACATTAAAATTAGCAGATTATAGTACAAAGTGTATTACATACATACCTATTAAATGTAAACAATAAATCTGATATTACAATAAAGCAATATCATGACTTTTAATGAAAATATGATTAACAATAAGTAATAAGTTGTTTTAATGAAATATATAGTTTATTAACACATTTTATAAAATTATTATAAATAAAATATTTACATGCGCATATTATACGAATTTGATACTGAAAATTTTATCACATGCGTATAATATGAAATTCTGTAATTATTTTGTTAAATATTAGAACATATTGGATGAACTATGTAAATGATTAAGCTATATAAAGAATTAATTTGAAATAATTTGTATTATTAAATTACAAATTATAATCAAGATAAATTGTACAAATAGTATGTACAAAATACGTGTAAAATTTTATAAAAATAATTCCAATTAGTTATATTTTTTTCTTGTAATAATACGTTTACATTCTGAATATATTAGAGGTTATACACAAACATCTTGAAATATAGTAAACAACTTATTTTGTTTATATTAATGATAAAGTAAATTGTATTGAAATGTATGTAAGAATTGTATATAATTCTTCTTTAACAAAAACAGTGAAAAATATAAATTATGAAAACTACGAATATAAAAAATCAGTAAGAATTATCAAATAATCTTATGAATATAATATTAGAATTATTAATTAAACATAAAAATA